TGCAATGTAAATAGTGGACAGCTAACCCTAACAATTGTGGTAACCCTAACCATAGCCACAATGCTAACCTTAGCCGTAATTATAACCCTAACCAAAATGCTAACCTCAACCCTCGTTGCAGCCCGGGGGCTTCCCTGATTATATTCTGGTTTCAGGCAAAATCCAATTTTAATAAATATATTTTAATTGATGCGGCTATTGGGCTTGTTGCACGCCTCTAGGCCATGGCTAAATAACACATTGGGTGGTCGCAATAACCTGCCTTTATAAGCATGGGGAGCGCATGGATCAATGAGCCCCAGGCCACCCTCACAGACACCGCCTGGAAGTGAGCGACACAGTCAGGGTCTTAATGACGCGCCGGCAGGGACATACCGGCTGCCTCGCTATCACTGCTGCACGTGTCGGCGCGTGTGTTCGCTGTGGCGAGCGGTGGCGCGGCAGTTAGCGCGCTGCGCTGCGAACCCGGAACACCGAGTTTTGAATCCCGCTCACGGCCAACGTCAGTGACAAATATCTGAACCGGTCCTGGGCCTCCCCTAGGTTGACTCAGAATAAAATGAGCTCCTGGTGCAGTGTCTAAACTGCACTAGTCGGGATACAAAAAGGCCCGGGCGTGATGCTGGCCACCCACGCCCTCGTGCCCTGCCGGCCTTCGCAGGCACTCGTACGCAACTCAAGATGAGCACGAGTTTAGGAAAGGAGGCTCGTGCGCTGACTGCAGTCGCCCTCAACCCTGAGCCCACCTCCACCTGTAAGGGGATACTCGGGGAAATGGGGTGGGCAGTGGCTCATCATATCGACACTCGCGCCATGGCATACGTGATGCGGCTGGGGGTGAGGCGCACCCAGCAGGTCGCTCGTGGCATAGACCCCGTGTCCTCCTCGCCGTGGGTGTACGGCGCCAAATTGGGGGTCCAACCTAGCAAAGTTATGTCGGTCGTGGTTGTGGGTGGAAAGGCTTTATTGAGCGAAGAAAACCAGGGTGACTCGCACACCTTCCCACACTGACACTCGCCCACACACCCTCTCTCATTCATTCACACACCCTCTCGCACACCCTAATAAAAGACAAAGATCCCCTGTATAGCCTTAACAGACTGTTGGGGTAAGGCCGGAACAGCACACAAGGGGGTGGGTGGCCAGTAACACACCCGGCCGCCTTTGTCTCCCCAGTGGCAATGTTTACGCACCACACCAGGTACTCATTTGAGGCTGAGTCGACCTAGGAAAGTTCAGGACTGGTACAGATGAGGTACAGATAATCGTCACTGGTGTTGGCCATGAATGGGAATCGAATTTGGGTCACCGGGTTCAAAGCGCAGCGTGCTAACTGCTACACTACCACAACCCACCCACACACACCCTCACTCACGCACGCACGCACACTGCCGGTTGACCCCACCGCTGCCGTGTGACGAGACCGCGGGGCGCGTGTGCGTGTGGCGAGCAGGTGGAGCGTCGGCTCGTCTCGCTGCTGGCCACCGCATTTGAGCGTGGGCTGCTTCCCCGGGGCTGCGCACTGAGAGTCCGAGCGGCGTCCGGTGGCCGGGCGGGCGCGGCGGCGGCGGCGACGACGGCGGCGGCGCGCACCCTACGCCTGGAGTTGCTTGAGGAGGGTGGGGAGGGCACACGGCTCCTCGATGTCCACGTGCCCCTGGAGCCCGAGAACGTGTCTTGTTGGTGACAGCGCCGTCGTGGCTGTGAGGCTGCACCACCGATACGCCGGCCACGTCACTCAACGGCAGAGCGAGCGGGTGGCTCGCATCGGGAGGTTGCGAGTTCACATCCTTGTTGGAGGGGGGTCGACTTGGTACATTATCCCTCCCTCTGGAGGCGATAAAATGAGTTACTTTGTGGGGAAGTGATAAATAGAAATATCGAATTTCCACCATTGGCTTAGTGCTGTAAGGAGAAGACGAGCGACCACCTCAATGCTCAATCGAGCAGGGAATCACATTCGACTTTTTTCGACCAATCAGAACCCCTTTAGCTTCTACTCAGCTATGCAGCAGGCACACAAGTGAAAATCCACCGAGTGATCACATCATACGACTCACCATGTGCTCTTTGCTTATTGGGCGAGAGAGCTCTGTACGAAAGTTAAATTTTGCTGGTGATTACCTCCTCGTGTGGCTGATGTTGATGTAGAGCAACGACTGTTTTTTTTTATATTGAGTTGATCGAGCCAGATGATTGCGTCAGGAGTAGCACAACATCGAGGAACTTTCTGGGGCGAAGTGCGAGTATCTCGCAAACAATGTGTCCAACTGAAGTCTTATAAACAGCTGTTTCATCGGTCGGTTTGTAGGGCTACATTTGCGAATGTGGTGATGGGTGCCCATTGGCCTGGATGCCAGAGGCCATGCGGAGACCTCTGCTCCACCAGGAATGTTTGTTGGTTCGTGTGTCCATGTACTGACAATGTTCATTTACGTCACAGCCATTGTATATTGTTACGAAAATAAAATATAGACATCAGTGAAAAATGCTGTCTTTGTTTTAACATCTGCGACTGTGGGGCAGAACACCGGAGCACGTGGTCAGCTGCTGCCTGCCCGTAAAGGCCATCAATGAGCACGGTTGGCTACGTAGGGTGCAAAAGAATTTCCTACATCGAACGTACTCTTTGGTTCTTTCGGTAAAGTCACGTAAGTAAAAATAAAAACTAAAGTTAATCAAATCAATTATTTTTTTATTTTTACTTACGTGACTTTACCGAAAGAACCAAAGAGTATGGATCATTGCAGTCACGAAAACTTCAAATCTAGAATACATCGAACGGTCGCACTGAAGCGATTTATCAGCTCACAGCCAGTGCCGTGAAACGGCTATAGAAGCCAGATTTCATTTTAGAACTCTTGCTACTGCTCCAAACGCAGTTGCAAACTTCCCATCGAAAATGCGGTCCTTTTTATGATGGGCAATGATCCAGCCAGAATGGGTTTTCTTTTTGTTCCATTTTCCCATTTAGATTCTCTGGTCCATTGACCTTGTCCACCAAGCGTCAGACTAGAACTCCTTGGCTACGGAGTCATGCACATTGATAACACACGCACACGTAAAAATACACAAGGTGAGGGCATCAGCACGTTTTGATGTTAGGACAATGTCTGCCTCCGATGAGCACGGTTGGCTATCTACGGTGCGAAGGAAGTTCAACATACGTATATAGTCTGCCATGTTTAATGTTCCTTGACCGTATTTGCTAATAGCATTAATTGGGTTGATGGAGTAGAAAGCCCGGGATTTCACACAGGCGAGGTGAATGTGCAGAGGATGCATGTTTATTGGCTAGGACCTTGGCTGGAGCCATGCAGCTGTTGGAGGTCTTCGGCAACTCAGTCCAGATACTGGGGCCTGAGGTGTTCCCAAGGCAAAGTTGGTGTTGGTAGAAACGGGGCTCTTGTAGTACCTCGCAACCTTCGCTCCCGGTAAGGGGAGCGAAGGCTGAGATGGTATAGTACTGTGGAAACCACTTTGGAAGATAAGAGAGGTGAGTCAACGTGTAAATTAAAGGGTGTATAAGGTGGAATGCTATCTGTATGACTGCAGATCACCGAATTGGACCCTAGCAGCTCCAAGAGAAGTTATTGGGATTTGAAATGTAGGTGTCTGACACAAATGTTGGGAATTTCGTAGGAAGACAGGAGAAGCCATACAGAAGTCTGGACGAAAACAGGACACATGAGTTTCGTGAAATACGGCATTAGGCAAAAACGGCTTCGCTGGGCAGGGCGCGTGTGGGGGGATGGGGGAGATCGGTTACCGAGGCCGGCACCGGAGCGGTCTCCATGAGTGCGGCGACCATGGGCAGCGCAGACCTGAGAACAGACGCTGGGGGGCCGTCATGGAGAGCAGACGCTGGGGGGCCGTCAGGAAGAGCAGATGCTGGGGGGCCATCAGGGAAAGCAGACGCTGGGGGGCCGTCAGGGAGAGCAGATGCTGGGGGGCCATCAGGGAAAGCAGACGCTGGGGGGCCGTCAGGGAGAGCAGACCAGACGCTGGGGGGCCATCAGGGAGAGCAGACGCTGGGGGGCCATCAGGGAGAGCAGACGCTGGGGGGCCATCAGGGAGAGCAGATGCTGGGGGGCATCAGGGAGAGCAGATGCTGGGGGGCCGTCAGGGAGAGCAGACGCTGGGCGGCCGTCAGGGGCAGATCTCGGAGGCCGCTGCGACTCCTGTTTAGCTGCGTGTCGATCTGGCGGAGTGGGAGAATGCGTTGGCGATGAGTGGTGGTGGTGGTGGTGATGACATCGCCGGCTTTCGGTCACGACGATGACACGTTGATCTTGAATGGATAATGAGTTTAAAGTGGGAGGAAAGGTTAGAAAGCATACAGCAAGTTGAGGAAGAGGAGATAGGTAAAGAGATGGAGATGCTGAACCAAAGTTTAAATGCAAGATTCTGTAAGCGAGCAGGTAAACGGTGAAAAAATATCGAAGAACAATGACAAAAAAATATTGCAGGTGTCACCACAAGTGATGACACCATGGAAACAATTTACAAATGTAGCCCTGGGGGGGAAAGATGGAACCACAACAGGTGACAGAGGTAGACTCTCAATACACTGTCAATGGTGACAATTTCATTTAATCACAATGAATTTTGATACATTCCACGTGTCATTCTGTGTGTCTGTTTTCTTGCCTTGAAGCGAAACGTACTCAAAACGCAGAAACGACGGCATATCAAGAATGATAAAGTTTTAAGTGTGTTTCAATCAAGGCTCATGGGAGAGCCAAGTGAAGACATTACAAATGTTTAGGTTTCAGTGGAATTGTAAAAGCCCCTACGCCGCATCCTCATTCTTCATTTGTCCTGCGTTTGATTTGTATCGAGGTTGAAGGGCAAAACGAAGCGCGAGAATGAACGAATCCGTCGCGAGGCGTCCTTCCAGCCACTTACAATTTACAGAGAGAACCATCCTCGTTTGAAAAATAAAAACTCTGCACTTGTGGCCTATCATCGCAACCTTCCCAGCAAGCTCCTCAATCGCAAAGCTTCCCAGCCACGCAGGCAGCACGAGGCGTGTAGATATGGGAAGGGGACTGGGGGTTGAGTTGAGAATGGAGACGAATGGTGGTTAAGATTTTGTGCTGAGTGAAGGACGGCGATTTAAAGGTTCCAGAGGTGGAGAGGTGGTGGGTTGAGGGCGCAGAATGGTGAGTTGAAGGTGGAGAGTGGAGAGAGGTGAGTTGAGAGTGGTACGTTGAGGGTGGTGAGTTGAAGGTGGAGAGTGGTAAGTTGAGAGTGGTGAGTTGAGAGTGGAGAGTGAAGAGTTGAGAGTGGATAGTGGTGAGTTGAGGGTGGAGGGTGGTGAATTGAGAGTAGTGCGGGTGGAGAGTGGCGAGTCGAAGGTGGGAGAGTGGAGAGTGGTGAATTGAGGGTGGAGAGTTGAGGATGGAGAGGTTGGAGGGGGCATGAACATCAGCAGGAGGAGGGCCTCCCTGAGCGGTGACGTCACGCCACCGCGGGCCATTTAAAGCGCGCGGCGCGAGCGGGTGCGTGCGCTCCGCGTCTCGGCACCGCGCGTTCCCGGCGTGCTGCTGCTGCTGGTGGTGGGGGTGGCCACATGTTCGCCATGGATTACCCGTTCCTCCACAGCAGCGCCGGCTACGACGCGCCGATTCACAGCGCCGTGGACTCCGCGGGGCTCCCGTCCGCGTACGTGGACTTGAGTCCGTGCGCGCAGCCTGGCGGGTTCCAGTACCCGCCGCTGAGGACGGCGTGGGGACCAGGCGTGGGCGCTCTGCGTGAGTCGCTCACGCCCACCTACAGCTCGGGTAAGAACACGCTCGTCCTGGCTAATGTCCACCACTAGCACTGACCCCACCATTAGCACTGACCTCACCACTAACAATGACCTCACCACTAAGACTGATCCCACCACTAACTCTGACCCCAGCACTAACACCACCACTCACACTGACCCTACCACTAACACTGATTCCACCACTATTACTGACCCCACCACTCGCACTGACCCCACCAATAACACCACCTCACACACTGACCTCACCACTAACAATGACGCCACTACTAACTCTGATGCCACCACTAACACTGGCCCTACCACTAACACTGACCCCACCACCATTACTGACCCCACCACTATTACTGACCCTACCACTAACACTGACCCCACCACTCACACTGACCCCACCACTAACACTAACCCCACCACTCACACTGACCCCACCACTAACACTAACCCCACCACTCACACTGACCCCACCTATACACTGACCCCACCACTAACACTGACCCCACCACTAACACTAACCCCACCACTAACACTAACCCCACCACTCGCACTGACCCCACCACTCACACTGACCCCACCACTAACACTAACCCCACCACTCGCACTGACCCCACCACTCACACTAACCCCACCACTCACACTGACCCCACCACTAGCACTGACCCCACCACTAACACTGACCCCACCACTAATACTGACCCCACCACTAACACTGACCCCATCACTCGCACTGACCCCACCACTCACACTAACCCCACCACTTACACTGACCCCACCACTCACACTGACCCCACCACTACCACCACTCGCAATAACCCCACCACTAACACTAACCCCACCACTAACACTGACCCCACCACTAACACTGACCCCACCACTAACACTGACCCCACCACTAACACTGACCCCACCACTAGCACTGACCCCACCACTAACACTGACCCCACCACTAATACTGACCCCACCACTAACACTGACCCCACCACTAATACTGACCCCACCACTAACACTGACCCCACCACTAACACTGACTCCACCACTAACACTGACCCCACCACTAACACTGACCCCAACACTCACACTGACCCCACCACTAACACTGACCCCACCACTAACACTGACCCCAACACTCACACTGACCCCACCACTAACACTGATCCCATCACTAACACTGACCCCACCACTAACACTGACCCCACCACTAGCACTGACCCCACCACTAACACTGACCCCACCACTAACACTGACCCCACCACTAGCACTGACCCCACCACTAACACTGACCCCACCACTAATACTGACCCCACCACTAACACTGACCCCACCACTAATACTGACCCCACCACTAACACTGACCCCACCACTAACACTGACTCCACCACTAACACTGACCCCACCACTAACACTGACCCCAACACTCACACTGACCCCACCACTAACACCGATCCCATCACTAACACTGACCCCACCACTAACACTGACCCCACCACTAGCACTGACCCCACCACTAACACTGACCCCACCACTAACACTGATCCCACCACTAATACTGACCCCACCACTAACACTGATCACACCACTAACACTGACCCCACCACTAACACTGACCCCACCACTAACACTGACCCCACCACTCACACTGACCCCACCACTCACACTGACCCCACCACTAACACTGACCCCACCACTAACACTGACTCCACCACTCGCTATGACACTAGACCAGGTCCTTATCCGTCCAGATTGCGGAGTCCAGGCCACCGTGCGCTCCCCCACCAGCGCCGCGCTTCACCCAACCGCGGCAACAATCGCCTCGAAGCCGCTGCTCGCAAATCGAGTTAGCGAGAGCAAGCTTATACCCTTCGTGCTTCGCGGCTGGCGAATGGCACGATCGGAGGTGCGCACACTGTATATACGGCACACTTAATCCCGCCACTTAACCGCCAAATTAAACCGAGGAATCTAATAGTTGCACGGTTAATTAAATCGGTCAGGCAACCGCGCTCTTCACGGACGCCTCCGCACGAGACATTCACCGAGACAACCCCGTGAGCTCCACCTGCGCCGCTCTCTAAACCTCGCCCCCCCCTCTCTTTCTGTCTCTGCCGCGCTATTCTCCGCGCCGCCTCCTGCTCTTTCCTTGCCCTTGACACCTCCAGGCCTGAGCAGTCTCAAGAGGTTTGCAATGAGAGAGTTCGTGATGGGGATGCTTGACTCATACTGGTAGGAACGAAGTTGTGAACTGAGTGTACCAGCCTGCAATAGATTAATGTGTCCGTCCGTCCGTCCCCTTTCAATACTTTAACGAAGTGAAATCTCGTGCTGTTGGGGTGTAAAAATAAAATTGCGCAAAATTTCAATGTTCCTACCAGCCCACCCTGCAGGGACCTGTTTTTTTTTATTCTCGGTGGCTTTGGGTGTTGGGCGGGTGGGGGAACCCCCGAATCAGCACGGACCAAGGCTGGCAGCATCGAGTTTTTATTCCATCGTGTTTTTCATGGTTTAAAAAAACAATAATCTCAGATGGCCAAAAATCCGGTTTTATTCGGATTTATTCCCTGTTAATCCCTATAATTATAGCCCCCCCCCCCCACCAAAGAGAAGACAAACAACAACACGTTGCGCTACAAGATGATGATGGTCAAAGGTCGCAAGACGCCGATGGAGTATTTGGCTGTCCGATGGCAGCGAGTGGCCCCGAGCTGCAAAAGGTCGCCGTAGAGGTGTCCAGCATCGCCACGTCCAGCGCCGCATCCGAGAGGAACTTCTTCTCCACCACCACGGCGGCCTTCGTTCACTCTCCAAGCTGAGGAACAGCCCGAGCGTGAAGTCGGTGGAGAAGCTCGTCGTCGTCTTCATCTGGAGCAACATTCACACGCCTTCTTCGACGGCGCGGTTGAGATGATTGAAGAGGACAGCGAATCCGATGGCGACAACTTGACCTGCCGGATTAAAACCATAGTTTTTTTTCCGACCTAAATCGGGTTTTTAAATAAAACCAATAACCCAATAAAATTTGCTGATAAAATCGGGTTTTTTTCCACCCTTGCTTGGCACGGTTGTAGCTCTGCCCCCCCCCCCCCCCCACCCTGATGGTGACGCCTCTCAGGCCGGCACGTGTACGCCATGCACGAGCCTCCACTTGCGCAGGAGTTGATGCAATTCCACGTCTCTGACGACTTCCCCGCGTGTTCACTCTCGACAAGCGCTCTCCTTGCCCGTTGTCTCCAGGCTGACGGATTGCCTCGCGTGCCACCCCCCCCCCCCCCAGTCCCCTACAAGTTGTTCGGAGAGCCGGGCTCTCTGGCCGAGAAGCGGAAACAGCGCCGCATCCGCACGACGTTCACGAGCGCGCAGCTGCGCGAGCTGGAGCGCGTGTTCGCCGAGACTCACTACCCCGACATCTACACACGGGAGGAGCTCGCGCTCAGCATCGACCTCACGGAGGCGCGCGTGCAGGTGGGGGAGGCGTGGTCGGCACGCCAACACCACCACCACAACTATTACTACTACTACCACCTCAACACCTCCACCACCATTAGCACCTCAACACCACCTCAACACCACTACCACCTCAACACAAACACCACCACCACCATTACCACCTCAACACCACCACTACCGCCTCAACACCACGACCACTACCACCTCCACCACCACCATTACCACCTCGACACCACCACCACTACCACCACTACCACCTCAAGAGCACCCCACCACTACCACCTTAACACCACTACTACATCAACACAAACACTACTACTACCTACACCACCACCACCATTACCACCTCAACACAACTACCACATCAACACCACCATCAATACCACCCCAACACCACCAACACTACCACCTCAACACAAACACGACTACCACCTCCACCACCATTACCACCTCAACATCACCACTACCGCCTCAACACCACGACCACTACCACCTCCACCACCACCATTACCACCTCAACACCAGCACCACCACTACCACCTACACCACCATTACCACCTCAACACCACCACTACTACCACCTCAACACTACCACCACTACCACCTCAACACCACTACCACCTCAACACTACCACCACTACCACCTCAAGACCACCACACCACTACCGCCTCAACACCACTACCACCTCCACCATCATTGCCACCTCAACACCACCACCTAAACCCCAACACCACTACCACCTAAACCCCATCACCACTATCACCTCAACACCACCACTATCACCTCAACACAAACACCACCACTACCACCTCAACACCAGCACCACCACTACCACCTAACCACCATTACCACCTCGATACCACCACCACTACCACCTCAAGACCACCCCACCACTACCACCTACACCACCATTACCACCTCAACACCACCACCTAAACCCCAACACCACTACCACCTAAACACCATCACCACTATCACCTCAACACCACCACTATCACCTCAACGCAAACACCACCACTACCACCTCAACACCACCACCACCACCTATACTCAACACCAATACCACCAGTATCACCTCAACACCACCACTATCACCTCAACACCAGCACCACTACCACCTCAACACAAACACCACTATCACCTCAACACCATCACCACTACCACCTCAACACCAGCACCACCACTACCACCTCAACACCAACACCACCACTACTCAACACCAGCACCATCTCAAGACCACCAGGAACGTCAGCACAACACCATTACTTTCAATCGCCAGCTTGGGGTTGTCGTGCCGTTGTGGAGTCCTGCTGGGTTGACACAACATACTCGCTCATGTGTGTGTGTGTATACCTGTGGGAGGTGCTCGCTAACAGCACTTGCCCCAACAGTCTGTTACAGGCCATACGGGGATCTATGTCTTTGTTTGTACCTGTGGGGAGCGGTGGTGTAGCGGTTAGCGCTACGCTGCGCTACGAACCCGGCCACCCGAGTTCGAATCCCGCTCACGGCCAACACCGGTGACCATTATGTGAACCGGTCCAGGGCCTCCCCTAGGTCGACTCAGCCTCAAATGAGTACCTAATGCGGTGTGTAGTAAACATCGTCACTGGGGGAGACAAAAGCGGCTGGAAGTGGTGTTGGTCACCCACCTACTCGTGTGCCGTGCCGGCCTTCATAGGTGCTCACTAACAGCACTTGCCCCAACAGTCTGTTCAGGCTATACGGGGGATCTTTGTCTTGTGTACCTGTGTGTGTACCTGTGCGTATATATATCTGTACCCGTTCGTGTGGGGAGCAGTGGCGTCGTGGTAAACGCGCTGCGCTGCAAACCTGGCTGCTCTAGTTCAATTCCCGCTCACGGCCAACACCAGTGCCGTGCCGGCCTTCATAGGCTATACGGGATTCTTTGTATTTGTATTTCTTGCTGTGTAACGATGTGGAAGCTTGCTGGCCTGTCACTCTGCTTGAAGCTTTTAGTCTTCTCGGCCACAGTTATTAGCTATTTCTCTTCTGTATGCTTGCGACACGCGGACCCCTTTGATGGGTCATTTGCATTGGTTTAACACATTTAGGCTGATCTGCCCATACGATCCATCCTTGCTTTAACCAGGCTAGATTGTGTGAGAAGCTCTAAGATCTTAAAAAGATCTGGACACTCATTCATCAGTGAGCTCTTCCAGCAGGCGAGCCTGCGTTGGCTGGGTCATGTAGCCCACAGGCCCAGCCACAACATGCCCAATCAGATTGTTTGCCCCCACGGAAAGGGTGGCGGCATGGGCTAGAGAAGAGATGGGGTGATGCGGTTACAGAAGGTTGGAGGCAGTCACCCTCCAACAATGCAGAACGGAGGAGCGATGCTCAAAATATCGGGTGGAGGTCCGGGTGGCTAAAGCGCAGGGATTTGGTGCTGTGGGGAGCACAAGGAGTTGCATCTGCCAGTCATATCAGTCAACCCATTACACCTGTGTCTCTCCCGTGACCTTGTGTCAGCGAGCCTTCGACACTTCACGTGACCTCAAAGTTCACCTAGCCTGGCGCCAAGTGACTTCACCGCCACTTAGCGGCGAATGGCGACTGTGACTGTCGTGTGCTAGTTTTTTGTGCGGTGCGGCTTGTGCGAGCTCGTCGCGTTGGTGACTCAGTTGTTGCACATCGTTCCCTCCCGTCGTCCCAGGTTTGGTTCCAGAACCGCCGCGCTAAGTTCCGCAAGCAAGAGCGCGCAGCCGCGGCGGCCAAAGGCGGCGCGCAGCACGGGGCGCGCGCAGCGGGAGGCGAGGAGCCCGACGCGTCCGGCGCGGGGATCAGGGAGGCCAAAGCGCCGGTGCCGGACAGCACGGGGCCCGGCGCGGGGCCCGGCGCGGGGCCCGGCGCGGGGCCCGCCGCGGGTCCCTGCACGGGGCCCGCGGCGTGCGAGCTCGGCCAAGGGATCGTGCCCACGCCGGCGACCTCGTCCGCTGGGAGCCCCAGGCCGCAGTCACTGGGCTGGGCAGGGCCCCCGCCGAGGGTCCCGGAACCCCTCGGAGGGCCCTTCGCCAGCGTCTTGTCCTCGCTGCAGCGACACTTGCCGCACAAACAGGGACCCTAGGGGGTCTGTTCCCACCCTCGCTTCATCCCCTGTGGCTGGCCTAGGGGAGGTTATTTATAACTCTTCGCGACAAACAAAGGGGACGGTTCTCGTTTGGTTCGTCTCGCATCGCAGCTCTAGAACTGCCAGGGGCTTAGAGGGCCAAGCGTGCCCGAGGGACGATGCAGGCCGCGGTAGAGGAGAGCTGCGTTGCGCTGTCATTGTTCTACCCAGGGTGCTGAAAACCGCGTGTTTTGTGGAGTGCCATCAGAGGTTTCCACTATAATTCTAGCTGGAAGACGTGGGCGCGCTCACACATTACCCCACCACACGCGCCCTGTCAACCATCCAGGCCACTCGGTGGACAGAAACGGGAGGGGGCTTTAAGAAAAGTGCCCCCCATTGATTTAACTGCCGCGCCTGGAGATGGAATCAGATCGCCGATCATCGGGATTGCAAGTCCAGTGCGCTAGCCGTGCGTCACACCACGGCAGATATTTTCGATGTCGGATTTTAGAAAGGTAACAATGGTAATGCGTGGCGATAGACATTGTTAGTGTGGCCAACTTGCGATCGCTTTGCCCGGGAGCGGCGACTGCGCGGATCCTCCTCGTCGGCGCACAGCGTCGTGCCTGCTCCCTGTAACTCGGGTAATTGTTGTTGTTACAATTAAATGTTAAGTTATTACGTTTGCGTCCTGACATTTTTGTTGTTGTCAACGATTGTATACCGTTGGGTGAACAAAAGGCGATTCACTGAACGGGTCATCGGTGAGTGCGAGGCTCACGAAGGGCGATGCTGGGTAACGCCAAGGTGGTCGAGGCACGGCAAAACCACTGCCGAGCAATGTATAATAGTGTAGTGGTGTATAGTGTAGTGTATAGTGTGTATAGTAGTGTATAGTGTAGTGTATAGTGTAGTGTATAGTGTAGTGTATAGTAGTGTAGTGGTGTGTAGTGTATAGGAGTGTATATTGTAGTGTAGTGGTGTAAAGTGTAGTGTATAGTAGTGTAGTGGTGTATAGTGTAGTGTATAGTAGTGTAGTGGTGTATAGTGTAGTGTATCGTAGTGTATATTGTCGTGTAGTGTATAGTGTAGTGTATAGTAGTGTAGTGTATAGTGTAGTGTATAATAGTGTAGTGGTGTATAGTGTAGTGTATAGTTGTGTAGTGGTGTATAGTGTAGTGTATAGTAGTGTAGTGGTGTATAGTGTAGTGTATAGTGGTGTATAGTGTAGTGTATATTGTAGTGTAGTGTATAGTAGTGTAGTGGTGTATAATGTAGTTTATAGTGTAGTGTATAGCAGTGTAGTGGTGTGTAGTGTATAGTAGTGTAGTGGTGTATAGTGTAGTATATAGTGTAGTGTATAGTAGTGTATATTGTAGTGTAGTGTATAGTGGTGTATAGTATAGTGTATAGTAGTGTAGTGGTGTATAGTGTAGTGTATAGTAGTGTATATTGTAGTGTAGTGTATGGTAGTGTAGTGGTGTATAGTGTAGTGTATAGTAGTGTAGTGGTGTAGTGTATAGTGTAGTGTATAGCAGTGTAGTGGTGTATAGTGTAGTGCATATTGTAGTGTAGTGTATAGTAGTGTAGTGGTGTATAGTGTAGTTTATAGTGTAGTGTATAGTAGTGTAGTGGTGTATAGTGTAGTGTATAGTAGTGTAGTGGTGTATAGTGTAGTATATAGTAGTGTATATTGTAGTGTAGTGTATAGTAGTATAGTGTAGTGTATAGTAGTGGTGTATAGTGTAGTGTATAGTAGTGTATATTGTAGTGTAGTGTATAGTAGTGTAGTGGTGTATAATGTAGTGTATAGTGTAGTGTATAGTAGTGGTGTATATTGTAGTGTATAGTGTAGTGTATAGTAGGGTATATTGTAGTGTAGTGTTTAGTAGTGTAGTGGTGTATAGTGTAGTGTATAGTAGTGTAGTGGTGTATAGTGTAGTGTATAGTGTGTATAGTAGTGTATATTGTAGTGTAGTGTATAGTAGTGTAGTGGTGTATAGTGTAGTGTATAGTGTAGTGTATAGTAGTGTACTGGTGTATAGTGTAGTGTATAGTGTAGTGTATAGTAGTGTGTAGTGTAGTGTATAGTACTGTAGTGGTGTATAGTGTAGTGTATAGTGTAGTGTATAGTAGTGTATATTGTAGTGTAGTGTATAGTAGTGTAGTGGTGTATAGTGTAGTGTATATTAGTGTAGTGGTGTATAGTGTAGTGCATAGTAGTGTCGTGTATAGTAGTGTAGTGGTGTATAGTGTAGTGTATAGTGTAGTGTATAGTAGTGTAGTGGTGTATAGTGTAGTGTATATTGTAGTGTAGTGTATAGTAGTGTAGTGGTGTATAGTGTAGTGTATACTGTAGTAGTGTATAGTGGTGTAGTGCATATTGTAGTGTAGTGCATATTGTAGTGTATAGTAGTGTAGTGGTGTATAGTGTAGTGTATAGTAGTGTAGTGTATAGTAGTGTAGTGGTGTATAGTGTATATTGTAGGGTAGTGTATAGTAGTGTAGTGTATAGTGTAGTGTATAGTAGTGTAGTGGTGTATAGTGTAGTGTATATTGTAGTGTAGTGTATAGTAGTGTAGTGGTGTATAGTGTAGTGTATACTGTAGTAGTGTATAGTGGTGTAGTGCATATTGTAGTGTAGTGTATAGTAGTGTAGTGGTGTATAGTGTAGTGTATATTGTAGTGTATAGTAGTGTAGTGGTGTATAGTGTAGTGTATAGTAGTGTAGTGTATAGTAGTGTATAGTGGTGTAGTGTATATTGTAGTGTAGTGTATAGTAGTGTAGTGTATATTGTAGTGTAGTGTATATTGTAGTATAGTGTATATTGTAGTGTAGTGTATATTGTAGTGTAGTGGTGTATAGTGTAGTGTATAGTAGTGTATAGTGGTGTAGTGTATATTTTAGTGTAGTGTATATTGTATTTTAGTGGAAAGTAGTGTAGTGGTGTATAGTGTAGTGTATAGCAGTGTAGTGGTGTATAGTGTAGTGTATAGTAGTGTAGTGGTGTATAGTGTAGTGCATAGTAGTGTAGTGTATAGTAGTGTAGTGGTGTATAGTGTAGTGTATATTGTAGTGTAGTGTATAGTAGTGTAGTGGTGTATAGTGTAGTGTATATTGTAGTGTAGTGTATAGTAGTGTAGTCGTGTATAGTGTAGTGTATACTGTAGTAGTGTATAGTGGTGTAGTGCATATTGTAGTGTAGTGTATATTGTAGTGTAGTGTATAGTAGTGTAGTGGTGTATAGTGTAGTGTATATTGTAGTGTAGTGTATAGTAGTGTAGTCGTGTATAGTGTAGTGTATACTGTAGTAGTGTATAGTGGTGTAGTGCATATTGTAGTGTAGTGTATATTGTAGTGTAGTGTATAGTAGTGTAGTGGTGTATAGTGTAGTGTATATTGTAGTGTATAGTAGTGTAGTGGTGTATAGTGTAGTGTATATTGTAGGGTAGTGTATAGTAGTGTAGTGGTGTATAGTGTAGTGTATATTAGTGTATAGTGGTGTAGTGTATATTGTAGTGTAGTGTATAGTAGTATAGTGTATATTGTAGTGTAGTGTATATTGTAGTATAGTGTATATTGTAGTGTAGTGTATATTGTAGTGTAGTGGTGTATAGTGTAGTGTATAGTAGTGTATAGTGGTGTAGTGTATATTTTAGTGTAGTGTATATTGTAGTTTAGTGGAAAGTAGTGTAGTGGTGTATAGTGTAGTGTATAGCAGTGTAGTGGTGTATAGTGTAGTGCATAGTAGTGTATATTGTGTATAGTAGTGTAGTGGTGTATAGTGTAGTGTATAGTGTAGTGTAGTGGTGTATAGTGTAGTGTATAGTAGTGTATATTGTAGTGTAGTGTATAGTAGTGTAGTGGTGTATAGTATAATGTATAGTGTAGTGTATAGTAGTGTAGTAGTGTATAGTAGTGTATATTGTAGTGTAGTGGAAAGTAGTGCAGTGGTGTATAGTGTAGTGTATAGCAGTGTAGTGTATAGTAGTGTCGTGTATAGTCGCATACCTGTCAGTACTGGTGGAGCCAGTGGGGGGTGGGGTGGCACGTGCCCACCCCAATGGTCAGATCCAAATCCCTAATTTCGATCGGATCATTGGGGTTTATTGGTAATAAATCGGCATTTTGCGACCCCCACTGCCACTGTGTAGCATATTATTATGTGCTAGGGACTCTATGAGATGATAGGACAATAGTCTGAGTCCATAATTGGCAACAAGTAACAGCAAAGCGGTTATAAGTGGCTTAGAATTGTGCGCAGTTGCGTATATAGTCCACGACTTCCCTGAAGGCAAACACCTTCAGCGAGCGCGATGCCGATCACACAACGCGGCTCGAATTCAACCCTCGATCGATGGCTGCACCATCGCCGCACACGCGTCGAATAAAAAGCAAGGGACAAGTCCTTACTTACTAACAAGTCCTTACTTACGAACAACTCCTCTATCATTTTTCATTGCTGGAGGGGTTTCCCCCCCCTACCTGAAAATCCTGGCTCTGCCATTGCCTGTCAACCCATACAGTTGATCCGTATGCTTGTACGGGGAAATTGAGTTTTCAGCTCCCTACGGTGTACAGACGTTATAATACGGGAAAACAAATGTGTTTGTCTATTTGTCTGCGTTTCTCCCATGTGATGTGACTTTGCAGGATGAACGCTGAGATTTATCAGGGCACGGGGGTGACCAATAAGGTCTGAATTGATCTCTAATAAGGTAGGGGGCACTGATAAGGGGTTGACAGGTATGCATTCATCGGCGTCGTCCACCTCCTTGCTTATGCAGCTCAGAAACATATATTGGAGGGGGGGGGGGGAAATCCTCGCTTGCTTTTTTTTCTGCAATCTCTTCAATAATCTCGCACGCACCTTCTCCCCGCATCGCGAGTCCAAACGGGGGAACGTTCTTCAGTGCCGAGAATCGCCACCGATTGGTATCGAACCGAGTTTAATGCGAATGGGGGTTCCGTGAAAGTTTGGGCGACGTCGTAATTTCGCGCGGCGATTTGCTGA